GATCGGGTCAAACAGGCACAGGATTCAGATTCAGCGATCCCAAATACATATAGATACCACATTACACAATTTTGATAACGAAAATATACAGTTTTTTTAAGCGTGAACAGGGTTATTATCACTTTCTTCTTCGGCAAAATTTTTATAAAATTAACCCCTTTGACTGATTATTTTGGCGCAATATGTTTATTTCATTTTCTTTTTAGTGTGACAGAAGCACTCAAACAAGTAAAAAGAGTAACTGAGAATGCCACAAATAAATAACTATAGAAGATACTGACTTCGCTGACAAACGATAGTTTTTTTTTGGTAACTTCACAGATACCCTGCATTTTCCCGCACTGCAAGCAGTCTGAAGTTACTTAAACTATTCAATGAAACATTAGTTATTCGCCAATACACCAATCGAACAGAACCGGAAAATTTGTGGAATGTTTAATCAAACATCTGCCGTTGTAGTATCCACCGAGAATTTATTACCTTCCTGTACCTGTGCTCTGGAGGTAGAGGAAAATGAGGGAATTCTTCCTCTGCTAATTTGCGAAAAAATCCTGTTGGGGATTCCCTTACACGCATATATTAAATTCATCGCCAAATTACTGTATTTCGAACGTAAATGAATGTTTAATCAGTGCTGGGTATAATATATTCGTTTACTGAATCAAAGATTTGATTTATATTACAGCCGGCCGCAATAATTATAACCACAAAAATTTAATTAACTAAACATTCGCTTTGGCCGGTATTTATATGGTTTTTACCCGTTAAATGCCGGAATTAGATTTTGTTTACGTTTAAATTCCTCATCAATACTGCAGCTGAATTTGAAGATAATGAATTTGCAGTAATTATATACAGCGTGTATCACACGAACGTATATTAAGGATTAGGTCAGTGTTGACTATGACAAAAAACAAATGCACCTCTGAGCAGAATTTGGTACCATTGTTTTATATAAATCGCTATGAAGAAAAATAAATCCATGTAGTCGGTGAGAAGTGTATTCAAAATTTGGGTATTCTAAAATCATAAAATATAAAATTTATTTAATCCTTGCTTAAAGAATGCATCAATCTTCAGTATAGCGGGAAACATTTTGGGCAACATTTATATTATTTTTCACATTTTATGTTTTTGAAATAAGTATAACGTCTCCTTAAAATAAATATTTAATCTCAGCATATAGTCGGAATTTGCTTTTGTCCATAGCCAACTATAGAGGTATATGTTAAAAAAATAACCGAACTTTTTGAATTACGCGCTAGTGGATATATTTAATGATATGCGATTGGCAGCATTGCGTTGCGGATAACCTCCTCTGTAACCACATGCTCTTGAATTGCTGATATCTCATTTAGTTTTCATGATATTGTTATTTGGGTGCAACGTGTTTAAGTGTTAGTGAAGATTTTTGAAATGTGTGATTTTCTGGAACAACGATGCAACGTAAAATTTTAACGGTTCAACTTTTGAAACTAATAGAGAAAAAAATATTTCTAAATAATTTTTAAAATGACTTTTAAAAAACCTTTTGGAATTTTGCCAGCATTGCAATTCCGCATGTTTGTGTTGACTTCAACAAATGAAACGAATAAGTAGTGACATCCAGAAGCACAAAAAACGTAAAGTCAAACATTTTAAAGAGAATTTATCGTTTTATCCACTTTTCCAGTCCGTTACGAAGGCTATGCCTAATAAAACGAAAATTATATCCTTGCTAGTCCCCACGAGACATCAGAACTTAGGGTCCCGGAAATCTTTAACTCGCCTGTTTCCTTAACTGTCAGTTGCATTTAATTTATCTAACTAATCGTCCGATCAAAAGACAGAAAGAGGAATTTGATGTACAATTTTGTACCTATTATAGCTGAATGTAAGTACAACATTGTTTTATAGAAAACTCAAAAGTTTTTATAAATAAACATTTTTACATATATGATGGGAAATGTCTGGGAGGTCTATACCTCATACAAATAAGACGCTTGAAGCTAAATTGAAGAAACACACTTTTTTGAGAGCAGTATTCGATTCGCAAAAAAAAATTTCAATTGCAAGTAAACGCATACTAATAACGAAATAGTTATGATACAAGTTTAAAATGTTATTATTCATTTTATGAACGGCTTAATTAAAGAAACAAGTGAAACGATACGATAATGGAAATTATTAGACGTCTCGGGTTACCCTCAATCCAGAGCGTATACAGGTTATAGTTATGTTTAAAAATTTAAGAAGTTTCAATTCATAGTAAAATTTGCGACACCAAATCAAATTTTGCGCAAAGCTAAGGAACAAACAATGCCATTGCCCCTGCTGATATACGGTCTACTACAAACATACAGGAGTTACAAGGTGCCGAAAATTCTTATCGATTGTATTAATTTGATGGGGAATTTTTTCAGCCCAAATATGACAATTATGAAAATTCAATATTCCATGTCAACGAAAACTTCCTTTATCCTAGAAAAGAAAACGTGTACTTTTCAATACAGCATCATCTAGATACCTAACCACCGCAAATATCTAGCTTTGGTCGATAATTTTTCTTAAGAATGCGCCAAACCGCTACGTGGTTCATATTGTAAAATATTGACATACTTCTCTTGCTGTTGCATTATCTTAACCTCGTCCACAATTTTCTCGCCAATAATTCTACCTCCTTCTCGAATGACTTTTCTTCAAATCACTAGCTTCTTGTAATCGTTACTAAACCGATCCTTATTGGATTACCGGCTGTATAGAATTTTTTCTTTATCTTCGTTATCATGTGTAAAAGCAGATCGTAATTTCTTATCTTGAAAATTCGTCCATTAATAAAAAATTTTGACAAATCTTGTTTTTCACTATTTTCAATTAAATTATGTAAGAGACGAAAAATTTTTAATATTTCGATTATTTCGAACATAAATGTGTAAGAAGTAAAACTCTTTGTCCTATCGAAAAGAGACAGGAGTAACTTTGTTGTTTATTTTACCGCTCGCTGTTATGAAAATACGTGCCCCAACTAGCGTTGAATTATACCAAGTTAATATCTACGAAACAAAACTAATCCAAAATAAGAATTAAAAATGATGTGTCAAAATATAATTAATACAAAAAAATGTACCTCATATATTGAAATTATTCCATAATGCAATCATTAAAAGGAATATCCTGTATTCTCGCTGTTCTATTATTATCATCCTTGAGAAAGACTAATCACGTACAAGATATTTCTTTGAATTTTTTCTACTAAAGGTAAAAAATTATATTAATTTGTATATAATGTGTAGAAAATTTCTATTATATGTTCATTTGGCCAACAAAATATTTTAATTATTTATGTCCTCAAACAATTTTATTATATTGATGGTAAATTTCGTTTTGTTCCGTTTCAANGTTTTCTACTAAAGGTAAACAATTATAATAATTTGTATATAAATTATAGAAAATTTCTATTATATGTTCATTTGGCCAACAAAATATTTTAATTATTTATGTCCTCAAACAATTTTATTATATTGATGGTAAATTTCGTTTTGTTCCGTTTCAAAAGGTCTCCAAAATGCCATATTGTAATAATATTATTTCTCTCTTTCGAAATTGTAATATCAATGATTAATAGAAGGTACCTATAATAAATGAAAATTACCTGAATCACACCAAATTCTGCATTATTGCACTGCACTGCTGGGCAATTCGTCAACCACTTGTCAACAGCTGAGATTTATTGACCACTGGCCCAATGCAGCTGTGTTTGTATTTCGTTTGACCGCGCTCGCATTCTTCAACTGGGCGTATATATTTCTACCACCTCCACGTTTAGTTCAACCAGACCTGTATGTGGGTATGGCTAAATAAATATGGGAACAAGTTTTTCAAATATTTCAATGCCGAGTTGCTACGTCAGCGACCGAACTTGGTACCTACATACTGTCAACCTATTGGTTCTTCAATAGATATCGGAACGAATCTATGTGTTTGTATTAATTATATATAGACACATCACTTTTAATTTTAATTTTGGATAATTTATTTATTAACACCTCTTCAGTACCTACATATTACTGTGTTTATAATTCATTGTTAATTGGGGCAAAAAAGGTTGTTTTTTAAATTTGCTTCTGTTAGTCATAAAACAGTAAAGAAAATGCGAGAGTTGATAAGAAATATACAGGATGACCCAGTCATAATGTCATTAATTTTAACCACGTACTCGTAAGGCCTAATAAAGACAGAAAATCGAAAAAAAAATGTTCTCGACCTTTTAAAAGATAAGCACATTACCCCTTAACTCCCGCTAATTTGACGCCCTCACATTTTACCACCGGGACGCGAACATTAAAATTAAGCAGCGTTGTCACATCAGAACCACATAAATAATAATAAGATATTCAAATCTACGACTGTTAATCGCATCTTTCACATTGTTTTTCCGCAAATTTGGAGATCACGTCAGTACAACCCGTAATGGCTAATTTTGTGAAGTTTGATTATGCGGAAATGGTGGTTTTATATGGAGAATGTTCTCGAAATACCAACGCCGCTACAGCAGAATATCGGAGTTGTTTCTCTCATAGACAACATTTTACGAGTCCTCGAACCTTCGTGCGAGTTTTTCAACGTCTTGGCGAAACCGGGTCTTAGATACCGTGTCGAGAACTTGCAGGACATCAGTAAAATGACATATGGTGCTATTCTCTAAAAATTGTATTTGAGTCTGTAATTTTAACATAATGTTGTCAATAACAGTATGTTAAAGTTAACTTAAGATAATGTAAAACTCGATAATCATTTTCGTATTCTGTAAGTAAATATGTTACGAACAGATTTACATTCATCTCATTAGTTCGAAAATGTAACCGTTTGATGTTATGAGAATAGACGCTTGCGCTGTATGTCCAATTTTGTCCATGCTTTTATCATTTTCATATTTTATTGGTTATGTTATGTATTTGAATGTATGCAATACCAATACCACAAAAATACGAAAACCAAATATATTTCTAAATAATAACAATATGTCTTGTTCGGAGAACCAAGAAGCATCTCAGGTATTGTATTTTTATACTAAATTATAGTTAAATTACTCAAATAATTTCCTTGAAGGAACCATGTATTCTTAAAAGAAAAAGAACTTCCAAGACATCAGAAGAACAGCTGTTGGAATATATTAAGTTAATGGAAGAAGATATTATTTTTAGGACAAAAACTATTACTCCGGGTACCGAACCAGATGAATATGTTAACAAGAAATGGGAAAAGCTTGCAAGAAAGTTAAATGCTTTGGACACGGGCCCACAATTGTCTGTAGCCAATTGGAAAACGGTAATTGTTTTAAAATATATTCTTCTGGTTGTAATGAAACTGATGTTACAGAGGTTTACCAATTATAAGAATACAACCAGAGCCAAGTACAGGAAGAAAATGGAAGATATGAAACGTACAGGGGGCGGACCTCCAACAGAAATACTTCTGAGTCCTTTAGAAGAAAGATTATTAGATATATGTGGTCGCGTAGCCGTAACGGGATCCAAGAAAGTAACAGTAACTGGTGGTTTGCAGTCATATTTGAAGGAAAACGAACCAGAAATGGTTCAAGATATTAATAGTGAGAATGATCCATGTGTTCTGGAGAATATAAGTACAAAAGACATCCATACTGAAATTAATACCAAGAATAATACCGAGGAATTCATAGTATTAGAATATGTGAATGATAGTCCATTTAGTTCTTTAGAAAATACTGAACAAATTGATATATCGGAGTCACCACGTAGCCGTAATCTGCTTAATAAACCAAGAAAGGTAGGAAAGCAATATGCAAAACGAATAGAAAATAGAACTATAAAAGCAATTGATGAAGACCTTTTAGGCACTTACAAGCAGAATACCGAGGCTGAAAGACAACTAATTGATTTAAAGGAAAAATGCCTGCAATTAGAAACCATGAAATTAAAATTTGAAATTTCAAAATATCAGTATGAAAATCCAAATTTTCATTTTGATTATGACTTATAAATTATATTAAAAGATCAATAAAAACAAAAAAGTAAGTATTTTTTATTTATTATAAGTACATAACCTTTTTTATAAAATATTCTGCCTAATATACATTGCTCTTGCAGCTCTTCCAAGGTGTAGCATATTGTCTTCCTCTGAAAACCAATATACATAATTTATTCAAATAATAAATAATAGTACTAATAGTTACCTAATATATTTCTATGTCCAATGTTTTCGTCATTATCGTTTAATACTATATCATCTTCATCGATATCTAAATTGGCCCAGGTAGCTATATTATGAAGAACAGCTGCTGCATATACTATGTAAGCTGCCTTTGCAGGATGATAATGGAGAACTCTGTGCCTAAGCAAACATCGAAAACGACCTTTCAAAATTCCATTTGTTCTTTCTATAACATTTCTAGTTAACTTATGTAGTTCGTTAAATCGTGCCTCTGGAGTACCAGCAACTACTCTATTAAATGGTGTGAAAAGCCAAGGTTCTAATCCATATCCACTATCACCTAATAAGTGACTCGTTATGTCACCGTTTTCATATTCATTTCTGAGAAAATTTTTTATGTCTGATACACGCCAAATAGCCGAATCATGGACGGAGCCTGGATATTGTGCATTACAAGCTAAAATGTTGCAATCAACATCACAAATCAGCATAACATTAATACTATGGACCCCCTTTCGATTTATATAGATATGAGGTGGGTGATCATCATCTGCTATACTAGGGGCTATTATTTGCACATGTGTACCATCGATACAACCAAGTACACCTCTAAATCCTGTTTTTTGGTAAAATGCTTCTTTCTTAAATTGTTTTTCTTCCACTGTAGTTGGAAATTTAATCCAATTTGGCATTANTAACCCCCATCCACAAAAAATAATCTAACGGGGTTACTGAAGTAACTTTGTATGGAAGATATGTGTGCCTTAGAAGAAATCCATGAACAGCAGATTTCGAGTGTAAATTAGCAGCAATGTGTGACAAGGAAATATGTGGATTTTTTTCCACGGAAAATAACCTGTAATTGGTTATTTTCTTCTCTAGCAGGATGACCAGACTTACGCAAGTCACTAACATGATCAAATTCTCTAAATTTTGCTTCAATTTTACTGACTATCATTTGAGAAATGGGAGGACGATTAGGCTGGATTTCATTAAATAACTGAGCTGCTTCTACTTGAGTACGCGTTCTATCAACAAACCCAACCATAAGCTTTTCAATTTTTTCTTGTTCAGTTAACTTTGTCATTTTTAAAAACCACTTTTCACAGTTTAAATGTATAAAGGCTACTAACGAAAGGATAATAATTAAAGAAACAAACATCAGAACAAAATTACACAAAAAATTGAATTTATGAAAAAAATTTCAAAACGGTGCAAATAGGTAGGTACAGTTTATCGATCGCCTTGGATATTGTCAAGCAATGAATGGAGCACATTTTGAACTTTTAATTTACAGGGTCTTAATTGTTTGAATTTAAAGTTTTTTTTTACTTATCGTTCGCAATAAATTTCTTATTTAACCCAATAATTTTTTTAGTGTTTGTTCTTAAAAAAACATCCTCTTTCAGAATCTGAAAAGAAAGTTTGCGGTTGCCGTTTAAAAAAATATCAAAACATGATATTTAATTAAAATTTCTCCACGTCTCGACGATTTTGTGAAAAATAAATTCCTTAAGTTTTATTGAATTTATACATTACATTCGGGATACATTGTATATAATATCCTAAATATTTTAAATAACAAGACTTTTAACACAATATTCGTATTTACTACTTTGGTTAAATATGAAAATTGGTAATAAATATTTTTACGTGCCTACATATACCCACTTTGATGATGCAGATATCGAATATACCATCATAGGACTTTAACCTTAGAAAGCAGTGAAAGAAAGGAATATAAATCCCTATCTGGGTAATAATAGAATTTGTCATATCATTTTTTTTTCTTATTTTAATTATAATAATGTATCAGCAAAATGTGAAAGCTTTTCCAATTTTCTCGGAAATGGCACAAATTGTCGTTAATAATAATACCTTTTTGTAAGATGCTTTTTTATAAAAATGTAATTTACTGAAAATATTATCTGCATCTTCTCTGTTTGTATGCTGAAATCAATAATCTAAAAAATTGGACTTGATTTAATTTTATAAAACCAAAGCATTTGGCATAACATATTTTTTACTATATTTACATAGTGTGGAGCAATAATAAAATATCTTGTTTATGAACCGATGTTGTACTGGGTTTTCTGTGGGTATAAAATATACATTAAAAGTCGATTGCGTAAAATAAATCGATTCTTACAGCTACCGAACTGGATAGTTTTATTGTATGACAATTTTTATATCCACTGTTTGTAACATTCTAATGTATGTGGTCGATAATGAACAATTTCCATTATCTCCAAATGGAGGTCAGACTTAAGTGAAAAAAAAAATGGATAATTCTAGACGAAACTACAAATACGGAAAATAGAAGGCCCATCGCCTGATAAAGCTAAATATGTGGCGCTTTTTATTGATAAACGTACGTATTGTAAGGACACCATTACAAAAACTATGTCAATGATACAACGATAAGTTTATTTTAATTTGCAACGTCTCCCACGATGAAGCGCACAAAATTTATACAAATCTTGTTCCAGAAATGCTTCGTTTTCTAAATATTGGCCTTCAATTGTTTTTGAAGAATAAACAATTTTTAAACAACGAACATAAAAAGTTCGTAAACATTCAAGAAAATAGTAGAAAACTTCGAAGGATACTTAAGAAAATTGCAAATGAAATTAGAAATAGTAAGAAGTGTAGTTTCTTTAAGAAATGACAATATATTTTTTATGTAAATCTGATGACGGCACTTCAAAAACCAATGTTAATTTTTTAAGTTCCTTTTCATTTTGTTTTAACTAGTTCGTAATATAAAAACGTTAAACTGTGTTTACATATTTTTTGTTTCATTTTTGTTAGTTTGTTATTATTTGTGTATACCAATCTCGATCAGATTTAGTTATTTTTATGTGTTAACCTATTAACGGCCCAGAAACGTAGGTATAGATATGTAGGTTTACTTTGTTGGCTATTGATTCTCTACTTTTGACCTTGAACTCACTTTAACCCAGACCTGATCGGGTCAAACAGGCACAGGATTCAGATTCAGCGATCCCAAATACATATAGATACCACATTACACAATTTTGATAACGAAAATATACAGTTTTTTTAAGCGTGAACAGGGTTATTATCACTTTCTTCTTCGGCAAAATTTTTATAAAATTAACCCCTTTGACTGATTATTTTGGCGCAATATGTTTATTTCATTTTCTTTTTAGTGTGACAGAAGCACTCAAACAAGTAAAAAGAGTAACTGAGAATGCCACAAATAAATAACTATAGAAGATACTGACTTCGCTGACAAACGATAGTTTTTTTTTGGTAACTTCACAGATACCCTGCATTTTCCCGCACTGCAAGCAGTCTGAAGTTACTTAAACTATTCAATGAAACATTAGTTATTCGCCAATACACCAATCGAACAGAACCGGAAAATTTGTGGAATGTTTAATCAAACATCTGCCGTTGTAGTATCCACCGAGAATTTATTACCTTCCTGTACCTGTGCTCTGGAGGTAGAGGAAAATGAGGGAATTCTTCCTCTGCTAATTTGCGAAAAAATCCTGTTGGGGATTCCCTTACACGCATATATTAAATTCATCGCCAAATTACTGTATTTCGAACGTAAATGAATGTTTAATCAGTGCTGGGTATAATATATTCGTTTACTGAATCAAAGATTTGATTTATATTACAGCCGGCCGCAATAATTATAACCACAAAAATTTAATTAACTAAACATTCGCTTTGGCCGGTATTTATATGGTTTTTACCCGTTAAATGCCGGAATTAGATTTTGTTTACGTTTAAATTCCTCATCAATACTGCAGCTGAATTTGAAGATAATGAATTTGCAGTAATTATATACAGCGTGTATCACACGAACGTATATTAAGGATTAGGTCAGTGTTGACTATGACAAAAAACAAATGCACCTCTGAGCAGAATTTGGTACCATTGTTTTATATAAATCGCTATGAAGAAAAATAAATCCATGTAGTCGGTGAGAAGTGTATTCAAAATTTGGGTATTCTAAAATCATAAAATATAAAATTTATTTAATCCTTGCTTAAAGAATGCATCAATCTTCAGTATAGCGGGAAACATTTTGGGCAACATTTATATTATTTTTCACATTTTATGTTTTTGAAATAAGTATAACGTCTCCTTAAAATAAATATTTAATCTCAGCATATAGTCGGAATTTGCTTTTGTCCATAGCCAACTATAGAGGTATATGTTAAAAAAATAACCGAACTTTTTGAATTACGCGCTAGTGGATATATTTAATGATATGCGATTGGCAGCATTGCGTTGCGGATAACCTCCTCTGTAACCACATGCTCTTGAATTGCTGATATCTCATTTAGTTTTCATGATATTGTTATTTGGGTGCAACGTGTTTAAGTGTTAGTGAAGATTTTTGAAATGTGTGATTTTCTGGAACAACGATGCAACGTAAAATTTTAACGGTTCAACTTTTGAAACTAATAGAGAAAAAAATATTTCTAAATAATTTTTAAAATGACTTTTAAAAAACCTTTTGGAATTTTGCCAGCATTGCAATTCCGCATGTTTGTGTTGACTTCAACAAATGAAACGAATAAGTAGTGACATCCAGAAGCACAAAAAACGTAAAGTCAAACATTTTAAAGAGAATTTATCGTTTTATCCACTTTTCCAGTCCGTTACGAAGGCTATGCCTAATAAAACGAAAATTATATCCTTGCTAGTCCCCACGAGACATCAGAACTTAGGGTCCCGGAAATCTTTAACTCGCCTGTTTCCTTAACTGTCAGTTGCATTTAATTTATCTAACTAATCGTCCGATCAAAAGACAGAAAGAGGAATTTGATGTACAATTTTGTACCTATTATAGCTGAATGTAAGTACAACATTGTTTTATAGAAAACTCAAAAGTTTTTATAAATAAACATTTTTACATATATGATGGGAAATGTCTGGGAGGTCTATACCTCATACAAATAAGACGCTTGAAGCTATACTTGAAGGAACACATGAATGAGGAAAACCTGGAAAACCTCATTAATTAGGGCTTAATTAAAAAAACAGGTGAAACGATATGATAATCTTTAGGCAAATACCAATGAAAATTATTGAACGTTTTGGGTTGCCCAATCCAGAAAGCCTACAGGTTATAGTTAATGTTTTAAAATTTAAGTAGGTACAAAGTTTCAATTCAAAACAAAATTTGCGACATCAAATCAAATTTTCGCAAAACTAAGGAAATAATCTGAACAGTGCCATTGCCGCTGTTGATATACGTAACTCGTCTACTACGTAGAGGAGTTACAAGGTGCCTAAAATTCTTATCGATTATGTTAATTTGATGGGAAATTTTTTTCCGCTTAATTATGACGATTATGATAATTCAATATTCCATTTCGACGAAAACCTCTTTCATCCGAGATAAGCATAGAGGAAAGAAAACATGGGCTTTCAGTACAAAATTTAGATAATCACCGCAAAAATCTTGCCTCGGTTCTTTTTTTTCTTATGAATTCACCAAACTAGTACGTGGTTTATATTGTAAAATATTGCCATATGCTGTTGCTGTTCGATTATTTTAACCTCATTCACAATTATCTCGACCGTATTATCATCATTCTACCCCCTCGATAACTTTTCTTCAAATTACTAGCTTCTTGTAAATGTTAATAAATTCATTCTTATTGTGTTACAGGCTGTGAAGAATTTTTTCTTTATC